CATTGGTAGCTTGATGGGGATAGCATTGAATCTGTAAATTACTTTGGGCAGTATGGCCATTTTCACGATATTGATTCTTCCTAACCATGAACATGGGATGTTTCTCCATCTGTTTGTGTCCTCTCTTATTTCGTTGAGCAGTGGCTTGTAGTTCTCCTTGAAGAGGTCCTTTACATTCCTTGTTAGTTGTATTCCTAGGTATTTTATTCTCTTTGTGGCAATTGTGAATGGAAGTTTGTTCTTGATTTGGCTCTCTTTAAGTCTGTTACTGGTGTATAGGAATGCATGTGATTTTTGCACATTGATTTTGTATCCTGAGACTTTGCTGAACTTGCTTATCAGTTTCAGGAGGTTTGGGGCTGAGACGATGGGGTCTTCTAGATATACAATCATGTCGTCTGCAAATAGAGACAATTTGACTTCCTCCTTTCCTATTTGTATGCCCTTTATTTCTTTTTCTTGCCTGATTGCTCTGGCTAGAACTTCTAATACTATATTGAATAGCAGTGGTGAGAGCGGGCATCCTTGTCTGGTGCCACATTTCAAGGGGAATGCTTCCAGTTTTTGCCCATTCAGTATGATATTGGCTGTTGGTTTGTCATAAATAGCTTTTATTATTTTGAGATACGTTCCATTGATACCTAGCTTACTGAGTGTTTTTAGCATAAAGGGCTGTTGAATTTTGTCAAAGGCCTTCTCTGCATCAATTGAGATAATCATGTGGTTTTTGTCTTTGGTTCTGTTTATGTGGTGAATTACGTTTATAGACTTGCGTATGTTGAACCAGCCTTGCATCCCCGGGATGAAGCCTACTTGATCATGGTGGATAAGCTTTTTGATGTGCTGTTGCAATCGGCTTGTCAGTATTTTATTGAAGATTTTTGCATCTATGTTCATCATGGATATTGGCCTGAAGTTTTCTTTTCTTGTTGAGTCTCTGCCGGGTTTTGGAATCAGGATGATGTTGGTCTCATAAAATGATTTGGGAAGAATTCCCTCTTTTTGTATTGTTTGGAATAGTTTCAGAAGAAATGGTACCAGCTCCTCTTTGTATGTCTGGTAGAATTCAGCTGTGAACCCATCTGGACCTGGGCTTTTTTTGGGTGGTAAGCTCTTAATTGCTGCCTCAACTTCAGACCTTGTTATGGGTCTGTTCAGGGTTTCGGCTTCTTCCTGGTTTAGGCTTGGCAGGAGGCAAGTGTCCAGGAATTTATCCATTTCTTCCAGGTTTATTAGTTTGTGCGCATAGAGTTGTTTGTAATAATCTCTGATGATGGTTTGAATTTCTGTGGAATCTGTGGTGATATCCCCTTGATCGTTTTTTATTGCATCAATTTGGTTATTCTCTCTTTTCTTTTTTATTAATCTGGCTAGTGGTCTGTCTATTTTGTTGATCTTTTCAAAAAACCAGCTCCTGGATTTATTGATTTTTTGAAGGGTTTTTTGTGTCTCTATCTCCTTCAGTTCTGCCCTGATCTTAGCTATTTCTTGTCTTCTGCTAGACTTTGAGTTTTTTTGATCTTGCTCCTCTAGCTCTTTCAGTTTTGACGATAGGGTGTCAATTTTTGATCTCTCCTTGCTTCTCATGTGGGCACTTATTGCTATATATTTTCCTCTAGATACTGCTTTAAATGTGTCCCAGAGATTTTGGTATGTTGTGTCTTCATTCTCGTTGGTTTCGAAGAACATCTTTATTTCTGCCTTCATTTCATTGTTTATCCAGTCAACATTCAAGAGCAAGTTGTTCAGTTTCCATGAAGCTGTGCGGTTCTGAGTTAGTTTTTGAATTCTGAGTTCTAACTTGATTGCACTGTGGTCTGAGAGACTGTTTGTTACGATTTCCGTTCTTTTGCATTTGCTGAGGAGTGATTTACTCCCAATTATGTGGTCAATTTTAGAGTAGGTGTGATGTGGTGCTGAGAAGAATGTATATTCTGTGGATTTTGGGTGGAGAGTTCTGTAAATGTCTATTAGGTTTGCTTGGTCCAGGTCTGAGTTCAAGTCCTGGATATCCTTGTTAATTTTCTGTCTGGTTGATCTGTCTAATGTTGACAATGGGGTGTTAAAGTCTCCCACTATTATTGTGTGGGAGTCTAAGTCCCTTTGTAAGTCATTAAGAACTTGCCTTATGTATCTGGGTGCTCCTGTATTGGGTGCGTATATATTTAGGATCGTTAGCTCTTCTTGTTGCATTGATCCTTTTACCATTATGTAATGTCCCTCTTTGTCTCTTATGATCTTTGTTGCTTTAAAGTCTAATTTATCAGAGATGAGAATTGCAACTCCTGCTTTTTTTTGCTCTCCATTTGCTTGGTAAATCTTCCTCCATCCCTTTATTTTGAGCCTTTGTGTATCCTTGCATGTGAGATGGGTTTCCTGGATACAGCACACCGATGGGTTTTGTCTTTTTATCCAATTTGTCAGTCTGTGTCTTTTGATTGGGGCATTTAGTCCATTTACATTTAGGGTTAATATTGTTATGTGTGAATTTGATACTGCCATTTTGGTGCTAGCTGGCTGTTTTGCCCTTTAGTTGAGCTGGTACTTGTTGTTCCTTTATATGTGTAGAGCCTCTTTCAGGAGCTCTTGTAGAGCTGGCCTGGTGGTGACAAAATCTCTGAGTACTTGCATGTTCCCAAAGGATTTTATTTTTCCTTCACTTATGAAGCTTAGTTTGGCTGGATAGGAGATTCTGGGTTGAAAGTTCTTTTCTTTAAGGATGTTGAATATTGGCCCCCATTCTCTTCTGGCTTGTAGGGTTTCTGCTGAGAGATCTGCTGTGAGTCTGATGGGCTTCCCTTTGTGGGTAACCCGACCTTTCTCTCTGGCTGCCCTTAGTATTTTCTCCTTCATTTCGACCCTGGTGAATCTGACGATTATGTGCCTTGGGGTTGCTCTTCTTGACGAATATCTTTGTGGTGTTCTCTGTATTTCCTGGACTTGAATGTTTGCCTGCCTTGCTAGGTTGGGGAAGTTTTCCTGGATAATATCCTGCAGAGTATTTTCCAGCTTGGATTCATTCTCTTCGTCGCATTCGGGTACGCCTATCAAACGTAGATTAGGTCTTTTCACATAGTCCCACATTTCTTGGAGACTTTGTTCATTCTTTTTTACCCTTTTTTCTCCAGTCTTGCCTTCCCATTTTATTTCATTGAGTTGATCTTCGACCTCTGACATCCTTTCTTCTGCTTGGTCAATTCGGCTGTTGATACTTGTGCATGCTTCACGAAGTTCTCGTGTTGCAGTTTTCAGCTCCATTAATTCACTTATATTCCTTTCTATTTTGTCCATTCTTGTTAGCATTTCGTCAAATCTTTTTTCAAGGTTCTTAGTTTCTTTGCATTTGGTTAGAACATGTTCTTTAAGTTCACAGAAGTTTCTTACTACCCATCTTCTGAATTCTGATTCTGTCATTTCATCACACTCATTCTCCATCCAACCTTGTTCCCTTGCTGGCGAGGAGTTGTGATCCCTTTTAGGAGGAGAGGTGTTCTGGTTTCGGGTGTTTTCATCCTTTTTGCGCCGGTTTCTTCCCATCCTTAAGGATTTATCCACCTGTCGACTTTGTAGTTGCTGGCTTTCGGATTGGGTCTCAAATCTTTCAGATTGACGTTCTGTTTGTTGATGATGAGGTTATTTCTGCTTCTTGGTTTTCCTTCTGACAGTCTGGCCCCTCTGCTGTAGGTCTGCTGAGGTTCACTCCAGGCCCTGCTTGCCTGGGGTTCACCTGCAGCAGCTGTTGAACAGCAAGGGTTGTTACCAGTTTTCTTCTTCTTCTATCTTTGTCCCAGAAGGATACCCGCCTAGTGTCAATCTGATCTCTCCTCTATGAGGTGTCTTTTTGGATATATAGGGGTCAGGGAGCTGCTTGAGGAGACGGTCTTTTCTTTATAGGAGCTCAAATGGTGAGCTGTGAGCTCTGTTGTTGTTCATTCAGAGCTGCTGGGCAGGTACTTTTATGTCTGCTGCAGCAGAACTCATAAACTGCTTTTTGTTCCCAGGTGCTCTGTCCCAGGGATTTAGGGCTTTATTTATGAGTTTCCGTTATGCTGCTGCCTTCTTTTTTTTTTTTTTTTCTTTTTTTCCTTCAGACCTGCCCAGCCCAGCAAGGAGGCAGCCTAGTCACTGTCGGCCTATAGCAGCTTTGCTGAGCTGCTGTGGGCTGCGCCCCGCTGCCGAGTGAACTTCCCTGCAGTCCTGTTTATATGGGTGTAGTTAGAACTGCTTTGGCGATGGTGGCCCGCCTCTGTTGGGGCGGAGTCTCTGCTGTGGCGTGTTGCCTTGGCAACGGCGGGCTGCCTCAGCAATGGCGGGTTGCCTTGGCAACGGCGGGCTCCCTGGTAATGGCGGACAACCCTCCCCCACAGAGCTGAACCGTCCCGGGTTCAGCTGCGCTTGCTGTGAAACTCTCAATCCAGAGTTTCTGGTTGCTGTTCTTTTGTGGGGGTGGGACCAGCCGAGCCTGATCGCCTGGCTCCCTGCCTCAGAGCCTTTTTTAAGTTGGTGTTCCAGTCGCCTGTTGAAGAGGCTCCGGGGTCTGTTTGTTTTCCCCTGCGGCCCCTCACTGCGCTGGCTTAAACAGCGGCACTGAGGTTTGTGATGCTTTTTTTTCTTTTTTTTTTTTGCCCTGGAATCTACTGTCCTGGTTCTCTGCTCAGTCCCCTTTTTGAACCAGCATATGGGCGACTTCCCGTGGCTCCAATCGCCAGCCAAAAGGGCACCCGGACCGGTGTATTTTGTAGGGAGAACCGCGGCTCCGGGGCGCCGACAAAGCAGCCGCGCGGGGCAGAGCAGCGGCGCTGGTCGGCGCCGGCCGGCGCTGGCCGGCACAGCAGCGTTGGCCACCACAGCCGCGCTGGCGAGCGTGGAGCACCTCTGCCCGGGAATTTCCTAGTCTGTGGGCAATAAAAACGCGGCGTCCACTCACCCTCTGCGCTTTCACTGGGAGCTGCAATCCTGAGCTGTTCCTAAACGGCCATCTTGGATCAGAAACCTGAAGAATTTTAAGATTCATTCTAATTGTTGAGACCAGTTATGTGCCAGACACTAAAATAAATGAAGTTCTAGGGTGTTTTCCCCCCATCCTTTTTGGCCCACAGTTTTGACTAGATATAACAGGAGATAACACACACAGCCCACAGACCATAAATTTTATTGGAACACAGCTACTTTATTCATTTATGTATTGTCTGTGGCTGCTTTTACACTGCAGTACAAAGTTGAGAGTTGCAACAAGACAATATAGCCTGCAAACCTAAAATATTTACTATCTACGTCTTGAGAAGAAAGTTTGTCAATGTCTGATATAAAACATTAACATGTTTCTTAAAGTGAAAACTATACAAAAAGGTATAATCTGAAAAATGTCATATTCTTTGATATTTCTTCTATCCCATTTTCCACCCCATCCCTTGTTTTTTGGTTTATTCTTTCCTGTGTTTCTTTTTATAAAAATAAGCAGGCATACATGTTTTATTTCGCCTTTTTCTTATACAAAAGGTAGCACACTATGTGTGCTCTTTTATGCTTTGCTTTTTTTCATTTAACACTACCTTCTGGAAGTCACTCTGTATCAATTTAAGAGATATTTCTCATTATTACAGCTACATAGTTCTGTATTATGTATATATACTACAGTCTGTTCAACTAGTCTTCTATGATTGGACATCTAGGTAATTTCCAGTATTTTGCAATTTCAAATATTACCACAATAAATGTGTGTGTGTATGTATGTGTGTATGTGTGTGTATGCTCATATAAATGAAATTGTGTTTTCAAGATAAATACCTAGAAGTGAGAATGCTGGGTCAAAGGCTAAATGTGTGTGTGTATTTATGTGTGTGTTAGATATTGCCAAATTCCCATCCATAAGGTTTGTACCATTTTTCATTCCCACCAGCAATTTCTCCATGAAGGTTGCTGTCCAAATTTTACCAAGTAATGACATTAAAATATATATGAAGGTGCAATTTCTCCATGAAGGTTGCTGTCCAAATTTTGCCAAGTAATGACATTAAAATATTCTTCTCATCTATTATCACCATCATTTAAAAAAGAATTTCTCCCATTTTTATAAGGGAGAAAGGACAAATCAGAAAAAAAGGATAGGAAGAGTCCTTTAAATTGTGTAAATATAGTTCTTATTGTGATTATTTTTCTCTTGTTGTTGAAGACAAATGCATCTCTACCCTGTATCAGATGAATCTTTACTTGATCATGTCTCTCCTACCTTGAAATTCTTCAAGGCTTTCCACAACTCAGCACTTAACATGGTCTTAACATGGCCTATAAGAATATATAAGATGTCAGCCCTGTATCTCCAGCCATTCTGAATGTTTTAATCCTTTTAGTATCCAAGTTCTCTCCCACAGGGTCTTTGCCTGTGGTGCTCTCCTTGCCACCATTAAATAACTAGACAAGTAAAACAACAAAAACAAAAAAACCCTGGGTTCAGCCAGGTGCAGTGGCCTGCACCTGTAGTCCCACCTGTTTGAGAGGCTGAGGTGGGAATATTGCTTGAGCCCAGGTATTCAAGTCCAGCCTGGGCAATATAGCAAGACCTCATCTTTCTATTAAAAAAACAAACAGGGTTGTTACCCTGTCTCTACCTTAATTCATTATGTGACATTGTGTCTGTTCTTTGGTCTTATGGTTTCTCAGTATCCTCAGCCTAAGGTGTAGTTATATCTGATGACCATCAATCAGGCCCTTTCTGTTCTAAGTTGTAAATGTTCCAGAAGCCATTTTGATAGGATGATAATGGAACTTAGCACATTTACTCCATGGCTATTAACTGTCACTCTGCTGTAAGTATACAACACATAAGTGTTTGTCACAATTACCTAAACTTTATTTTAAAAATATCACTTGAAATCCATTATGAGTAAACCAAGTTTTGAGAAAACTGATTATTCAATTTTTGAATTATACTAATTTTGGGGTTCTATCTTTTGGATTCTGTTTTTAACACTGCTTTTCAAATGAAAGAGGTAATTTTGTACCCTTTTAAGGGGTTATTGTAGTAAATCTATTGGGAGCTGGAAGAGGGCAAGGTGGGAAGGGCTTTATGCTATCATTTTAAGGTGATAAAAAAGAGAAATTTACCTGGAGTTAATTTCCTATTCATTTATTAACAGGCCTGTTGCCTTGTTTAATTGACATTCTTTGTAGTTTTATAAAACTACATTTATTATCTGGTCTGTTGCCTTGCTTAACTGACATTCTTTGTAGTTTTATAAAACTGACTGATGTAAAAATGGGAGAAAATAGAAATTTGAGAATTAGAGATTTTAGGAGTATATACATGTTAATCTCTGAAAAATGTTGCTAAATAGGTAATATTGTTGATCATTAAATAATCTGATGGGTTTAGATCTCAATATGTTCTACTTAAGTTCGTTCATTAGTTCCTTTTAATTTGTAATTTATTTCTTAGAAGCCATGTTATAAATTGGTAATTCAGTTTTCAGGAAAGCCCCAAAAAGCTTTTTTTAAAATTTTGTTTTTGGAGTCTTTAAGAGTACATCCCTGCCTAAGCAGTGTTAATAAAATTGTTTATACACAAAAATTTATTCACAACTAAGAATATTTGTGACATCCAGAGTTGAATTGGCATTTAGGCACTAAAAAATTTAGGTGTTGGAAGGTAGTAAAGCTTCTCCTAGGCAATAGTAACTTAATATATTGTCAAAAGACAAAGTACTTGGCTCATCAGGGGTCCAAAATTATAGGACAAAAATGCAGTCACTTCAGATTCTTAATAACTATGCACCATTCATGAACCAAATGTTTTTCAGATGGGAATATGAAGTTTGCTCCATTTTCTATCTTATATTTCTTAATTTAAATACCAATGTCTGTAATTAGGATATCTTTAAATACCAATATATATAATTAGGATTTATTCTTCCAATTTACTTTCGGTATTTTGAACGTAGAATATTAAGGTTTGTTGATAACTCCTTAAGTAGTATGTTCAGTTTAATTTTCTGTGAATGTATTATATATAATACATGTTTTTTATGCTTTTTTTGGTAAACTAGGTAGTTGATATTTTCTCAGAAAATATGATTTCTAAGTTCAGAAATTATTAGGGTGCTGGAAAACCATTTTTCCACACCTGAAAAATTTTCTCAGCTTACTCTGTTCCTTTGAAGGGAGTTAATGTGGGAAGGAATATTAGTTAAATCATCTGTTTTATGAAAATGTTAAAAACAGTGGGCACAGTTTCTGTAGGGGGCTTAGTACTATCTTTTTAAAGTAATAAAAAGTAAAATCATCAGAGTTCTAATATTAACATAGATTTTTCTGAGTAAAGAGGGAAGGGAAGAGAAAACTCTCAGAATATATAATTTACCACAAAGTATACACTAACAAAGGAAAATAAATTTTGTTCTGATATACTTTCTGTCCATAGGTAAGAGTTACTCAGTATTTGAAGTTCTAGATGAGAAAACTATGTTTATTATCTGTGATGTATTGCTTTATGAAGAACCTTACAAAACTTTTGATTCATTTATCTCCCTGGGAGACACCAAAAGTTTCTTTATGAACATAGTAATAACAACTATTTAATGACTGTTTTACTTGTTTTTTTTTAAAGTTATATTCATGCTTTGTGATCTTGCCTTAAGTTTTACTCACAGATCTTTAAGCTGAGGAGAGTTCTGAAAAATTTCAGTTACAGAATTCTCCGCCCCTTTCCCCAAGATCAGTAAATTAGTAGTTGCTTTTCGTCTCAGTATGTATTAAGAATGTAGTGTAGGGCCGGGCGCGGTGGCTCAAGCCTGTAATCCCAGCACTTTGGGAGGCCGAGGCGGGTGGATCACGAGGTCAAGAGATCGAGACCATCCTGGTCAACATGGTGAAACCCCGTCTCTACTAAAAATACAAAAAATTAGCTGGGCATGGTGGCGCGTGCCTGTAATCCCAGCTACTCAGGAGGCTGAGGCAGGAGAATTGCTTGAACCCAGGAGGCAGAGGTTGCGGTGAGCCGATATCGCGCCATTGCACTCCAGCCTGGGTAACATGAGTGAAACTCCGTCTCAAAAAAAAAAAAAAAAAAAAAAAGAATGTAGTGTATTTTTATTGACTGAAGTGTGAATCAAATAAAGGAATTTTAGGTCAATGGAAGAAAACACATTTATATTATGTCTATACTTCTCTTGGTATATAACGGACCATAGTTAGTATCTTCACTAGGTTCTTTTATTTTTTTATTTTTTTGAGATAAGGTCTTGCTCTGTCGTCCGTGCTGGAGTACAGTGGTGTGATCATAGCTCACTGTGACCTGGACCTCCTGGCCTTAAGGCACTAAGGATGTGTTTTGCTTTAGGTTTATCTAAAGGAAACCATGTATCCAAGAAAACCCCCCACTGTTATTTTATTGAAAGTAGGTTAACCTGTCCAGCAAATGATTGTGATTTTTCTGAAATCATTACAGCTCACACCCAGAGAATAGCAAAAATCAAATTTATGTCTTAAAAGAGTTATTTGTCCAAGCTGTATTCAGGACTTGAAAGATTAAGACCGTAAAAATCAGATAGGTTGATGCAGAATTTAATTGCATGTCTTTTTTTTTAAATACAAGGCATTCTTTTTTAGTTAACTTTGGAGAACTGCTTGAATTTTTTTTAAAAAGAATATGTCAGATAATAAAAAAGTTTTAGTGTACTTGGTACTTTTTTTCTAAAGTATACCTCAGAGCCATACCTGTTTTATGTTTAGTGAAATGAATTGTTTAGTTATTTGGCCTTGTAGTTTTGCTGCTTTATAATATGAGGAACTGTGTCTTTAATAAATCATTTTGATGTACAGTAACATCTTGCCTACTTGAAATGTTTTCAGCTATCCAATATTTGGCTTAAAATGGTCAGAAGAGTGAAGGAAAAGAAAATGTTTACAGTCATGTACTATATAACAGTGAATGACCGCATATACAATGGTGGTCTCATAAGATTATCATACTGTATTTTTTACTGTACCTTTTCTATGTTGAGATATATTTAGATACAAAAATACCATCATTTTACAGTTATCTACAGTATGCTATACAGTAGCATGCTGTCTAGGTTTGTAGCCTAGAAGCGATAGGGTATAACATATAAGCTAGGTGTGCAGTAGTATATACCTTCTGGGTTGTGTAAGCACATACTATGATGTTTGCACAATGACATAATTACCTAAGCAAGCATCTAAGCAACACGTGACTGTATATTACTTTCTAAATGCCAAGTCCTATGTTTCACTATCTCTGGTGTTTCTCTGACCTAACATATTTAAAGTGTAAGTTCTTGATTGTGATGTAAGTACGCCTTTAAAATATACCTCTGATAGTATTTTATTTTTTTGCTAAGTAAAAACTTACCAAAGTAACATTTTATTAGTTTTCTCCCTCTCAATTTTTGTGGCATACATCATTTTGAAATTGGGCACGTTATATACAGAAAATCAAAGTAGTAACTTCAAAGCATGCCATATAGATAGCATCTGCTTTCTACAAATCACCTGCACAGACAAAACCCCCAAAATGTTATCAGTGTGTTACTGCTCAAGCTCTTCCATCAATGTTAATATGCTATCATTTCTACAGAAAACTACATTTTTAATTATATATATATTAAAATACTCCAAAAATATTTGATTATTTCAAATTACTCTTTTCTCATTGTTATTATAGTTTAAAAAATGATTGATAGTTTCCATTCAAAATAAAAATGGCATGTTGAATAAAAATATTAAATACTTACTAAATTAGTATAAAATAATTTAGTAAGTTAAATCATTTAATATAAAAAGGAATTCAAAGACATTACAGATTGTTAACACATAATTTAAATCAGTCACTTTTAGACATTGAATAACTTTAAGAGATTCTTTTAATGAAGAAGGAACAAATCAAAATGGCTCAGAAAAATCAGATGGAGTGTATACACAAATAAAATACATGTTAATGCTTAACACATTGAATACAAATTTTCTTTATACTAATGACTTTAAAATGTCCATGTGTTAATTTTCTTTTGGAGGTGGAAAAATAGTTTGTCCAAAAAGACACTTTTCACACTTGAAGGAACTTCTAAGTCCTGTCCCAATGTTTTATTTCAGGCAGCAGATTCATTGTCAAATATCTTACTTTTTAAGGTCTGTAGGTTATGCTGAATAAAATTCTCTGCACCTTGAACCTCAGAGAATCTGGAGTCATTTCTCCTAACAGACCAGTTTTTCATTTTTATTGAATTCTGAATCGTGTCCGATGTAAAGTAGTAAACTATAGGGTCAAAACAACAGTTTGAAACAGCAATGCACAGAGTGATTGGGTACATTGTCCTTACTGCTGCCACTACTGAGCAATTAACAAATGTTTGTGTTCTCACAAGAGAATATAAAATAAGATTGATATTGTAAGGAACAAAACAGAA